AGGAATGAGGAGAATAGAAAGAAAGGGCTTTCAAATGTAAACCAAGGAGGAGAGAAATACTTTTCAAGTCAGACAAAATGTAATCTAGAAAGGAAATCTGAAAGGAAGCAAAGAAAAAAGTAAGAAATATAAACGAGCCTTTAGCAAAGGAGAAAGAAGATTCCAAATACAAATACATTTTTGGAATGGAAGGAGGTTGTTTTTGAAAGAAAAGGGGGTGAAAGAGGAGGATTTATAAAGAAACTGAGGAAAATTTTTATATTTTTAAGGGAAGGAAAGAGAGAAGGAAGGAGGAACTGTTAAAGGAAAGATGGAAGGAAGATTTTTAAAGATTGAAGAGAGCATGTTTCTGAAAGAGAGAAAGGAGGAGAGGACGGTGAGAAAAGGGACGGAGGGAGAAGGTGAGGATTTTCCTTTTCCTAAAAGAGAAGGAGGCGCGGCGACAGCCAGCATTCCCGGACACATTGTGTGGCGTTGTCGTAGCAACAGGGTGCAATATCATTACACGGCGTGTTGCATCAATAGGAGCCTCAGTCTTCAACAGCCCTGCCGGCAGGATGGAGGTCCAGCCGAGCGAGGATGGCGCTGCCATTCGAAGGCGGTCTTGATATGAGTGCCTCGGCATCAAGCCCAGCTGTGTTTGGAAATGAACACCATGGTTTTGGGTGTGAGGAAGAGGAGGCACTGTGAGAGAGGTGAGAGAGGCCGGGCAGCACCTCATGTAATGCTGGCACTCAGGTCGTTTTGCATCCTTATGGTGTGTTTGTATTTGGGCTCATTCTCAGTCATTGCTACCATGCTAATAAAATAAATGTTGATAGAACATAGTGAGGAGGACATGTCGACATGAGGTTAAACAGGCTAGCTGTGATGTCAAAATGGGATCGCTATTTCCTTGGTTTGTACAAAAACCGATGAGTCAGTTTTAACACAGTCGTGCCTGCAGGGACAGCACCTTTGTGTCAACAAATAATATGGGGACTGTGTTGATGCTGTCAGTGGAAACCGTGCTTTGGTGATTTCTGTGTTTTTGCTTCAAGGATTACATGCTCCACTGTCTGTAAAAAAAACAAAACAAAACAAACAAAAAAAAAAAATCTTCAACTTGTAAAACTGATGAAACCGTTTCAAACCAACATTTGGAAAAACATAAGGTGTGCTTTGTCATCAAATGCAAAACAGTGCTGAGTGTAGCTTTCTACTGCTGCCATACAGCGGTTAATAGACACTTACTGTGTTGGGGTCTAAGAATACTGCTGTTTACTACAGTTGTACTGTACGTCATTATACCTGTATTTGTTCTGGTTTGTCCTGATTTCTTACCTCAGCTTAAAGGAAACTGACTGGTTTCAAATCAGCTCTGACCAGCTGGTGTAAAATGAGCCCACTTCCTCAGTGACAGCATGTGATTTTTATTCATACTGGCATCATTAAGGTGTCAGTGCTTTGAAGAAGACAGGTGTCATCTTATTACACACTTCATGTGATATAGCCAGTAATGCATGTATTTACAACCTGTATGTCTAAATGCATGACATTTGCTAGTACTGGAAATAGGTACTGTTTTAGTGTAGTTGTACCATGTTGTAGTAGTAGTAACAGTTGAGGTACAGTTGTAGTTCTAGTAGTTTAGTAGTGACAGTAGTACAGCCAATTGTACAGTGACACAGATTTTACACATGGACTTGTTTACAGGTATGGGGGAATATTGAGTTAGCTGTGTGAAGTCAGTTAAACTGCCCCAAGTGATGTCATTTGAGTCAGATGGGTCTGAAGTAGTGAGATTCCCAGACCTCTGTGGCTCGCACCGTGTTTCCGCTCAAGTCTAGCAGCTCCAGGCTACATTAGCCTGGTTAAGGTTTGATGTGTGTATTAACTGATCTGCAACTACAGATATAAGGAACCACACACAAATTTGTCCTTAACATTAAGTGTTTATGTTTGTGTGCCCACATTGCAGAGAAACAACATGATGTGGAGATCCTGTCTACACCTCCTAAGGAAAAGGAGAAGAAGAAGAGGCCAATGTCACAGATCAGCGGAGTGAAAAAGGCCACACAGAACCCCAGCTTAGCACCCGCCTGCATCCCCCGCTTTGGAGTCAACACGCCACATGAAAGTATGCTGGCCAAGGTAGGTTCACACGCACTAACACGCAGACAGAAACACACACACACACACACACACAAAACTACCATCTTATAAATGTGCTGTTGTACTCCTTCAGGAGATCGAGGACATTGATCGCTGGGGTCTCGATATTTTCAAAATAGCAGAATTTTCTGGAAACCGCCCTCTGACGGTGGTCATGTACTCTGTTTTTCAGGTAGGAGAAACCCACACTTTGAAACCTGTTCACATATGAGAAACATGAGAGAAAGAATGAGAATGTGATGCATCATAATAGTAGTTTTTATCATGAGAATGAATAAAATTCACCTTAAAGGTGTCAAGTGTGTTACTGCAACATTAATAAACCTTTTTAAAAATACAGTAAAGATGTTACTGTCACTGGTAGTTTGTATTTATCTTTAGTGCATTTTATACTTTTAAACATCAAGTTTGACTTAGGAGATGATCTGCTTGGTTCATGCAACTTTCTGTCAACTCCTCTGGCCTTTAGACTCAACATCACACCACAAGACAGAAAAAAACTGAACTCTGAGGTTGATGTGACTGTGATTCTTACCTGTTCCTCCTCATCCTGCTACCAGGAGCGAGACCTGTTGAAAACCTTTAAGATCCCAATTGACATCTTCATCACCTTCATGATGACCTTGGAGGACCACTACCACGCTGATGTAGCTTATCACAACAACATCCATGCAGCTGATGTCGTGCAGTCCACCCACGTCCTGCTGTCCACCCCTGCTTTAGAGGTGAGCTGAGGGAGCAGTTGTTGTTGCAAATTAAAATAAGGATTATTTATAAAACTATAATATCAGTGTGAATGGGTGTGTCTTTGTTCTTTATTTGTCCCAGGCCGTGTTCACAGACCTGGAGATCGTGGCAGCTCTGTTCGCTAGTGCCATCCATGATGTTGACCACCCAGGAGTCACCAACCAGTTCCTAATAAATACCAGTAAGTTCCTCTCTCTCTTTCTCTCTGTCCACATCTGCCACAACAGGCTTGGTCTAAACAAGAATTGCAATTTTAAAAAAGGCTTTCAAGAATGGTTAAACACCTCTAAAACAGTGACATTTATCCTAAGCATTTATCAAGCAAATTTTTAAACATGTGAAAAATAATTTGACTTAATGCCAAAACTATTTGATATTTCACTTTAAGACACTTAAATATATCATGATTCAGAATGCTAAATTAACTAGGATTATGTTTGAGGTGTCTTGTTGCACAATTTTAACAGTTTCAATCTATATCTCTGCAGGTTCGGAGTTGGCGTTGATGTACAATGATGCATCAGTGCTAGAGAACCACCACCTGGCTGTGGGATTCAAGCTGCTGCAAGAAGACAACTGTGACATCTTCCAAAACCTCAGCAAGAAACAGAGAGACTCGCTCCGTAAGATGGTGATTGACATGGTGAGACTGCCGCACTTTTTACATGACATTTTGAAGTTTTTTTCAAATGTGCTGTTGTACTTGCCGAAAGGTAGCGCTCTCAATTTACCACTTACTACGCTCCAACCCTCACCTATGGTCACAACCTGTGGCTAGTGACCAAAGGAATAAGATCTCAAATACAAGCGGCTGAATTGAGTTTACCTTCGTAGGGTGGCGGGACTTAGCCTTAGAGATAGGGTGTGGAGTTCAGACATCCGGAAGGGACTCAGAGTAGAACTGCTGCTCCTTTACATTGAGGAGGTTGAGATGGTTCAGGCATCTTATCAGGATGCCTCCAGGGCACCTCCCTTTGGAGGTCTTCCAAACAAGTCCAACTGGTAGGAGATTCCAGGGTAGAACCAGAACACAGATTACATATCTCATCTGGAATGGGAACACCTGGGAATCCTGCTAGTTTAGCTGGAAAACTTTGCCAGGGAGAAGAACATCTAGACTACCTGCTCAAAGGAGTTTTTTTTCCTTCATGGTTCAGTAAAGTTAATGTACAATAAACATATGCTTTATGTATTTGGTAAAAGGCTGCTTTAAAAAAAACTGCTGGCAAACCATGATATGTTGTTGCTGCTTGAGAGTAGTGGTAGACAGTTACAGCACAACTGATGGACAGTGGAAAGTCAAAGAAGCAACATAAAAAAGAAACAGAAGTAGACAAAATGCTGCAGTTATGAGTATATATTTTGGGCATATCACATTCTAAGTAGTCAACAATATGCAGAACTATTTTAATTCAGTTTTATTTATTGCAGTAACTTATGTTTTCATTTTATGACTTGAAAAGAAAGTTAGTTTATAATGGCTATTGTGTATGTCACTAAAGTTTCATGTTTGAGTTTTGGTTTGGAGCCCAGATGTTTAGAATTTAAATGGAAAATCTGAGGACAGTGATCCTGTGCCACACTGTGTGGAATCAGACTCTAAGCTTCCTGAACCATTAGGTCTCATTTGTCTTTAGACATATAGGAAAGACAGTACACTCACCATCTCAGTGAAACGAAAAACTGAGGATGTGTTGAGTCTCTGTTTGTGTGGCTGTCGTCCTCTTCAGGTGCTGGCCACAGATATGTCCAAACACATGAACTTCTTGGCAGACATGAAAACAATGGTGGAGACCAAGAAGGTGACCAGTCTCGGAGTCCTGCTGCTAGACAACTACTCTGACCGCATCCAGGTGAGCGCGCCCCCTGCTGATATCACACTATAAATACTAAATACCTTTTTGTAACCATATGCTTCACTTCAGAAAAAGCTAAAACATGTAATAATAGACTACAGTCGTAATAGTCTGAAATGCTCCAAATGAGCAGTGAATAATACAGTAGGTCTCAGTCACAGCAGTGTGTTTCCACATTAGCCAACACACTGAGCAGCTGTTTACATGTTCAGTCAGGGAGCTAGTGTGACAGTACTGCTGCCTGCTGAATAAAAAAATGGTCACTACATCTGAGCCAAGGTTTTGTACAATGTGGTGTTGTTTTTTTAAAGAACGTTAGCTTGAGCTGGCGATAACATTCAGTATAATGGTAAAAGACGAGAGCCTCAATTTCTTCAAAGCTGTTGAGCATTATTATGAGTTTTATTTTTTTTAATTATTCATTTAGTTTAATCAATGAAATTTCACGAATAACAATCACAAAAAAATGTAAAACTACACAAAGTGCTTTATTTTGCATTTCTGGTTGGTTTGTGATTAAGTGCAGACCTGCAATAATTAATTATTTAGCTGATTAGTCAATTGTTTTCCTCTCCACTGTCGCCAAATGCTTGCTCTAGGGGGATTTGTTGGGTTTTCTCTCTGTAATAATAGTGATAACAGTAAGGTCTAGACCTTACTTTGTAAAGTGTCCTGAGATGACTTTTGTTATGATTTGGCGCTATACAAATAAAATTTGATTGATTGATTGATTGATTCTGAAGTTGTGACCTTGGACTCGTACAAACTGGGATGGATATTTTCCTTTTGCTTTTTATGTTTGGCAAACTTTTATTCAGTTAATCAAAAACATAATCAGCAGATTAATCAATAACAGTAAGTTGCAGCTCTAAATAAGTGCATATTTAGCATGAGCAGTGGCAACTGCCACAGGTGAACCTCTATCATCAGAAAATCAAAGGAAGAGCACCCACCCACGTTGTAACAGGATGATCTGAAAAGAAGTACTGGTGCTACTACTCATGTCTCTAGAACTACTGTAACACCTCCAGCAGAGTCTGACTGAGTGTGTATCCTCCAGGTTCTGCAGAACATGGTCCACTGTGCTGACCTCAGCAACCCAACCAAACCACTGGAGCTGTACCGGCAATGGACAGACCGCATCATGGTGGAGTTCTTCACCCAGGGAGACCGAGAGCGGGACAAGGGCATGGAGATCAGCCCCATGTGTGACAAACACAATGCCTCCATAGAGAAGAGCCAGGTAACGCTCACTGACACACAGGGACGTAGAGGGAGATGACAGGAGAAGAGAAAACTAAAGTGTGAACCTCCAGGCTAACGCAGAACAAACAGACAGCGTTTTTGTTTATTTTGGCTTGTTTTGTATTGGCACGTGTTGCTCACTTCTCTGGACTATATTTAAAAAACAAATTGGTTGCACTATAAAGTCAGTTTCTATTGCACTGACATATTTTAGAACCATCACAAAATAATGATAAAATGAAGTTACATGTAGATGTTGACACACATTTACTCTCTGTCCAGTCAAGTCAAAATTGTCTGTTAATTTATTTTTATATTTCATTCCCTTCATTTTGGTCTGTTGATTACTGTCATTATTCGTTTTTTTCATAGGTGGGGTTCATTGACTACATTGTTCATCCTCTGTGGGAAACCTGGGCGGACTTGGTGCACCCTGATGCCCAGGACATCCTGGACATGCTGGAAGACAACAGGGAGTGGTACCAGAGCATGATCCCCCGCAGCCCTGTGCCCTCCAGCCCTGAGGAGCACCTTGCTGAGGTGGGGCCAGGAGGAGGAACTGTGGGAGCAGGAGGGGCTGTCCCTTCAGGAGGAGGGGACAAGTTCCAATTTGAACTCACTCTTGAGGAAGAGGATGAGGAGGAGGTGGAGTCAGACTTGGAAAGTCCCCTGGAGGAGGAGTCCCAGTCAGGCGGGGAGAGGCGCCAGGACTCCTCCTCCCCCTCTTTATCCCCGGACCCCCACGGCAGCAACAGGTACCGCCCCCCCTCGCCTCACCCGCCTCGGACCCTGAGTCTGGCTGCCATGTCGATGCGGAGCCCCCGCACCCTCAGGACACTGGCCTCCCCAGGGCAAGAGGGCATCAATAAGGACAGAGAATTGAGCCAGGAGGGTGATGGGGTGGCCTGCCTGGATATGGGCACGTAACGACCAGCACTACCTGCCCTCCCTGAGAAACGTGGGTGCTGGGTCTAGGGAGATGGAGGCAGGGCAGGCCTTTACCAATAATGTCTGTAAACTCACCACAGTCCCTTTACGCTGGAGACACTGTCTCTGGAAAACAGAGGGACCTTCCCCCTCTGTTTTATTTTAATTTTCAGCAAGAAGAATTGTTTTAGCCTCTCTTTGGGTGCCTGATAGGCCTTTGTGTCCCCTCCTGCTTTGTTGTAGCTTCAGTTCAGAGTGTCCCAGACAAAGACTTGATCTGTTTTAACTGGGAAGAGGAGTGAAGCCAAAGGCGTGATGGAAATGTCTTCCTCCAAAACAACTGTTTGTGACATTTGGACATGAGCAGCGAATGAGGATCGCAGTGGTTTGACAGGGTCATTTCTATTTAATTTTGCACCATAGTTTTAGTTTAAGATATAAAACTATTGAATCAGTTGGGAGTAAGCAAGTATGATTTATTTGTTTGAGAATGATGTCAGAGTTTAATCATTTTACCAAATAGGTGAGCAGCGAGAAAATCGATGGACCTAAACCTCAGGGTATGAAGAGAACATAAGTCTCATGTAGCATGGATGTAGTGGGTACCCCTGACATGACCCCCAACACCAAACTGTCTTTCTTTTTTGATTTACCTCCAAAACAGAGACAGCTGAGACTTTTTTAAACCTGTGTGTCGCTACATTTAACTACAACCCTTTAAGAGAAAATTTGGCAACTGAAGCAATGGAGTGATTTATATTTAAATCAGCTTGTTTTACCAGAAAGTAAACACTGAAGACTACCCCAGCCTCACTGGTTGAAAATACAAAAGACACCACCTGTATAATTAGGTTGAGCTTTATTTTATTTTATTTTTTATCTGAGATGATTTTAAATGGTGTCATTGTTGTAGATTTTAATTTAGAAACCATCCTTTGTTGTACATTTGATGGTCTCGTCTGCGTTTATGTGCTTGAAAAGCTCTTCTTTTTTTTTAATCAGGGTGCCTCCAGTCCGCAGTAGCACTTTACCGTCTCTGCCGTTCAGCTCTTCGATTCTGTCACACAAAGGGCTTCACCCACTGTAGGCCTACTGATCACACAAACACAGTTCAGGACATCTCATGCCAGGATTCAACAGGCAGGGCAGGAAAGTAACCAACCAGCTAATTGAGAATTTGATGGATTTAACCAACACGAATATTTGTCAGTTAATATTCGAATTATAAGATACCAGCTGAGTTTTGAAAAAAACTTCAAATCCTGAAGTTAAGAGTCACTAAAACATGAGGCCTTGGACTGAGAGTTGTAAGTTTTAAATGTTTTACACTATGAATTACTTTGGGACAAATAAAGTCTGGAAAAGAGCTCTATGCAAACCAATAATCCATTCAATACCAAGTACAGGTGTGATCAGCTCTGTCAACTTTAATCCACGAGAGCCGCACCTTCCTCTAGATGACCTGAGGTTCGAGATTGAAAACTTTTTTCAGAGTATTGATTTTAAGGGAAACTGGTGCTGTGAGTTGTTGACTTGTTTGGCATCACCTACAAATTAATATTATGTAGGCAATGTTTTTAAATCTACATCCAATCGACAAACTGTAATCCAGTATTACAGTGTTGCATGTCGATAAAGTTGTGGCAGTCACGAGAGTTTTTTTTTTCAAAAATGATCAGAATCAAAGCAGAGGTGTGGTTAAGCTCCAAAATACTGGATCCTACATTTAACATAATGCAATTCAGTACGATCTTTCATAAGAGTCTCTGCTGCTAAATGCCCAGATTTTTAGAGTCAGGGCACCCAGTTTTTATTGTGCAGTAAATATGAAATTTGGAAAATAACTGTGATGACATGACACCACCAGACTTTAGAAAGCTCCCTTCCCAGCAACACAAAACATTACAGAACAGGCTGAGCTCAGATAAACTGACCTTCCTAACTAAAATTAAAGGAGCGCCCCTAAATATATAACCTTCTTAACAGTTTTTTTCTCCAGAATCAGTAAGGATCTTATAATTCCAAAATCACTGGTGTTACTTTCCTGGCTTGCTGACAGGTACCGCTGTAGAGATCACATGCAGCACAGTTTCCGACAGACATGAATCTCCTGTAGTTCAAATGAAACTGATTGTCGATAGCGCTCAACTGGGATAACTGTGTGCCATAAGTGTTGAAAACACACAAACACCTGCCAGCCTAAGATGCTGTACATTTTTACACTAGAGATTTTAACCTGATGATTGTATCGAAGTCGTTGACTTTATACAGTAGTGTTAGTTTTTACGAATGATATATGTTAACAGTATTTAAAGCAGACAATTTAATAGATTTTGTGCAACTTAGGATCAGTATGTTCAGCCCTTTCCTAATCAGATAGCTGAGACTTGGAAATGTACGTAGTTCCAGGAGTTTTATGAGTCTTTCTGTGCCAAGTTCAGTCTAGAGCAGTGTTTGTCGCCGTCACTGAGATAGAAAGACCAGGGAGTAAGTAAGCACTACACACGATATGATGCGCTTCCTGATCAGGCAGTAGTAGAAAACACTAGTCTAACAGTATTTCATTAACTCAGCTAGTAAGCTTTATTAATCAGCCTTACATTTGACAGGAGAGGCGGAAGCCTGGTCTTAAGGGACCATTATGCTGTTTTTAACATGCTGAGCCTCAGACTCACTTCCACTTTTGACTCACCTTTCCCTTGAGGTGTTTCAGAGGTTTCTTCATAGTTCTGGAAAACTGGAAAAATAAACTGTTTTATTGCCAGGCCTTATGATTTGTCATAAAGAATCATAATACATTCATAAAATATTAGCATGTGTTTGACAAAAATGATTTGGAGCTGACTTAAAGAATTTTGAAATGTGTCACCAGCACAATTAGAGTGATCAGCAGAGCTATTTAGTTTTCATGTTTTGTTGATCAAATATTTAACCACAGATTTTTTTTTTACATGATCAAACTGCCACGTAAAGCTCAGCAGCTTCAGTGTTTCACCTCAGCAGCACCTGTGCATTTATTTAGCTTATTCAGACTTCACATCTAGCGCCATCATCAGGCCAAGGTTTATACTTGCACACAAGATTTTTTTTATTCCATATAAGAAATGCAGCAGTCAGTGGGCATGTTGCTATGAAAGCAGATGTACACTTCATGGGGTTTTCTTTAGCATCACCCTGACCAGTGACAAAATGTCTATTTTGTTTTGTTTTACCTGCACATTGGATTGTGTACTGAACAATAAAGCTTAGTAGGGCTTTAACCTTTTAGTCTCTGTCTAAAAGGTTGCTGTAAACATGACTTTACCATTAAACTTCCTGTTTCCTTTTTAAGCCACCAGAGTCACCAAATTTCTCCAAATATTTCATTGTTTATGCAGTGTGAAATTCTAACCCACCCAAAATCAATGGAGCTCATTGCCCACTAATTCAGAACTTTCTCTTTTCATTAAAAGAAAACACAAATGGGTAGTTCAAACACCAGTAAGTTGGGCATTAAACCTTTGAAAATATATGTATTATATACAGTCTAAAATACTAAGGAAGTCAGTCATCCAGTAATGTAACCTCTGCTACAACCTCTACTTCTTAAGATGTGTTCGAACCCTCTGATTTTATCCTAGAAAGTAGTTTCTTTGTACAATACAGTATATTTGAAAACAAATGTTAAAATCTTGGACATTTTTATCTAAACAAAATTCTGTGCTTCCCACTAGTGACAGCTATAACACAGCAGTGTTGCAAGCCTGTCGTAAACACCATCTGTTAGCTGTCTAGTAGCTCTCCTGCCACACAGCGAGGGAACAGAAAAGCAACATATTAGAGAAAGAGGACAAATTATTTGCTTCATCCTCTTATTATGAAAGTCCTCAATTTTGACGCGTTTCAGTTCAATATTTAGTAAAAACATCACTTGTACAAGTTGAATGTGGCATTTGCATCATGTGAGATGTTTGTGAAGTTTTTCCATTTGTTCAATTGCACCAACAGTTGCAGCTCAGTGATCTGAGGCGTTATGTTGGCATGTTAAATTCAGCACCGTGGCTCTTTACAGGAAGATAATAGTGCCATACAGTGTTAAATGTGTTGACAACCATTGAACAGTAATGTTCATACTGTCTCGTTGTCTCAGCCTCTGTGTTGTGCAAACTTCTATAAAGATATTTATTCTTCAAAATGTGTCTGTTGAGACAAAGTACTGTAACATAGGACATTTGATTTTATGTTCTGGAGCCTAAAAATCAAGTATACTTTATAAGTATGTATACATCTGCCACTCCAATGTATTTGTCAAAGAAAATGACTATATTTTTTGTTTCTTATTTTAAACCAAAAGAGTCTCGGGAGTTCAGGGTGTTTTAAGTGGAAAATGCTAATAAATTATATGGAAATTTATATCAGACTGACTGTTTTTATTATGTTGTTGTTCATTATGTTCACTCTATGAAACATAGGGTTTTCAAATGGAAATAATAAGTACAAGGAAATCCCATTGTATAATCCCATATTTGCATTGTTAGCTACAACAAACCCTCTTTCAAAGAAAAACTAAATGTTTTAATGTGTATGTAACACTATGATTTGGTGCATTATTATGTTTTGGCTTGCTGCTTGTTGTTGTCTCCAGCAGAAGCTTCTGTCCAGTCTGACTGGGGCTCCAGTGCAGGCTTGATCCCCTGTAAACACTAAAACGCACACAGTGTCACAGTCACATCCAAGCATGCAACTGAACTCACAACTGGAAGAACAAAACAGAAATCACTACTCCATAAAGAAAAAATGCAGAGGAATGTCAATATCACTAATAGAGATAATAATAATAATAATAATAATCATCATCATCATCTTTATTTGTACCGCACTTTCCAGCTCAAGAGCACAAAGTGCTACAACAATAAAAACATAGTAATACAATATCAGTTAAGAACATTCATAAACAGACAGAAGCGAAATAGATATCCAGTGTCTGATATAGGCCAACTCCTACTCAGCCGGCTCTCCCACCGGGGGCTTAACCGTGGTGGCCCAGAATGTCACGATTTGGTTCCGTTGCTTCCTGTCCGGCTTTTATTTTGACATTACTTCCTGTTTTTGTTTCACCTTAGTTTCGGTCTTTTTACGTTCTTAATCACTCACATTAGATTCACCTGCTCCCCCAGCTATTGGTCGGACGATTCTCCCGGGTACACTACACTCAGGGCAGGGGCGTACTCCCTTGCTCCTGAGTCCCAGCCCTTGGGGACCTGCCTGAGCCCCGCTGATGCCCAGGACATTTTTTTTTTAATTAAAAGCCCAGATGGCCGATCCACTCTCCTCTCCCTTCGAGGGAACCCTGTGGGCTATATGCCCTGGGGGTCCAGGGAAACGGCGGACCAGGAGGAGACCGTCAACTGGGGCGGCTGTTCCTGTACCCAGACTCCAGTCTCAGCAGTCC